GGTAAGCCAGTTAAGATATAGATGAAAGCAATTCTATAGCTTCGGCTTATGTGAATGTGTTGTTTTGTAACATTTGTCTTTTTTGACTGGTAGCACAAACATATTGTTGGAAAATTAGAACACATGGTATATTAGGGGACATGTGAAAACATCTCTATTTCTTGTATATTTTTTATAATTTTTATATTCAGTCATAGGCAATATATATACCACTAATTTTATTATAATTTATTTAAGACGAGCAATATAGTACCACTAATTTTAGAAATAGTTATTATATCTTTGATGGCGAATATTTTTTTACGGCCAACGCTCCGAAGAGCATACATTCTTTCTTACGCCACTCATTTCACAGGCAGAACGCTGTATAATTAATCGTATTCATGTAACCTACATCAACGCAAGGTTTCACTGGGAAATGTAGGCTTTTGTGTATAACGTGGAGATAAAATACAGTTTTACCTTCGTAGATATAGTATACTTTAAACAAATTAAGTCACACTATTACTTCCGTAATGTATACATGTTCGAATCCGGGATCAATGTCTTTCATATAAATGTTTAATGCAGTAACATTTTATGCTCACAATGGATAAAAAAATCTGTCTAACAGGGTTTTACATTTTATATTTAAATATACATATTTGTATTCAAAATTAATGTAATTCAAAGCTAAGCAAGGAAAAACAACAAATATTTAAAACTAATTTATTAAAACATAGCCCTTAAAAACAATGCTGATATGGTCCAAATGATTGAGTTAAAACAAAATTCGCTTTCAATTCCTTAAAATTCCGTATTCAGGCCGCAGTCACTCAAAACAGAGGCCATTATGGGCAAGTCATTTAACGTCACAGCGTTTAGCTTTTATCGACACACAAAGTCACACCCTGACATGCACTCCACCTACAGTGCACCGAGCAAACAGATGCCGCCCTACAAACAGTACATTGCTCAGTCGCGGCTCATTACTACCGCAGAGATTTTATCTCGTAAGATTTTTATATTTTTTTGTATTGATGTTGTGAGCGTGCGTTTACCGTTCTTAATCAAGAAGAAGTGTCCCTAACACACTTGGAGTTGAAAAGCGATTGTTATTATTATCCCGTTAGTGACCAACGACAATTAGGTGACGCTATTTGTTTTAAAATGCAATTGAATTCCCATACTTAACTTCGATCGCTTACATGCATAACTTTGAGTATTGCTACTATTTTTAGGAATGGTTAATGTATATCTAACCTTGGTACCCGATCATACATTACAATATATTCCTATAGCCCATTTATTTCCTCAAAAAGGTCCTAAAAAACACAACGTTAAGACAAAAGAGCTCCAATACGTACAGAAAGTTAGCTGCCAAGTTGTTGAAATAAGTAGAAGGTTCGCTTTTTGTTTTTCAAAGTAATTGCATGCTTTTTAAAAGCGACGTTTACAAAGTACGTACTTTGTAATTTGTGTGTGTTATTAAAACTGTTTCTATACAATGATAAGATGTTTGAATAAAATTAATTGTTCTGCTCAAAAGCTGAATGAATAGGTGACGTGTATATTTTAGTTTTTAGACCTTAAATCAATTTTATAGTGAAACTAATTACACTGCAAAAAGTGGACCCAAAATTCTACGATCCTCCGTTATTCGTGCGACCAAAATGCGTACCGACCGTACGTATAATATTATGTGTGTGTATTACAACTACTAATACTTTTAGGGTGTAAGGTAATCACGCGATAAAACATTATCTACTATTTATAAATAATATATATTTCGGTTTTTGATAATGCTATAGCCATGATCTTTAAACAACGAAGGGTTTAGGGTGACAGTGAGAAAGTCCTGATCTCTTGAGTGTTGGAAATGAAGTGCGCAAAGGATTAACCAGAAAACAACGGAGTATCTCCATCACATTAGATGATACAAGTGTTGGCTACACATGTATCTGGATGATAAATAGTATTTGGATGATAAGTGCCCAATTTAACCGTTATTGTATTGGTAACAGTATAAATCACAGGATAGAACCAATTCAATAAATGACGTATAACAAGTGCAATGATGGGTGTTGATAGCATGATAAAATTTTCATGAGGTTTTTTAGAACCATATTTTTTTGGTAATATATTTCTTTTAATAGTACTACCTACTGTTGTCGTTTTATTATATGTATATGGTAACTGTCATAAATATGGTGTGAGTTGTTAACAAAATATATAGACGTATTCAGACCACCGTTTGAGACTCTTTTGAATGGTGTACAAAGCCAATAGAATAAATAATACCCCGTAAGATTATTAAAACAAATATGAGAATTAATTTTATTTTAATCTTTGTTTTTTTAGACTATTGGTCTGCATATTGTCTTATTTTAACCACGGGTAACAGGACGTGAAAATAGATTTCGTCTATCACTATGCACTATCTTCTCCGACAGCAGACAGCACAAAACACACGAATATCGACAAAATAGCGTTCTCTTGTTTTGGACAAGATTTACTTTGGATACACGATCTGACGCTGAGTATACAATCATTTTATAAGTTTTCCGCATGACATATTTGAAATACATAGAATTCCAAAACAAAATGTATAATCATTATACAAGAAAACGATGCATTTGGCATATATCGTAATCTTTTTTTTTAAACCAATGTAAATTCTCTCTTTCGTTACATATCTAAACTATTTTTAAATTTGATATTTTAAGACTCAACAAATTAATATGGACGTTAACATAGATAGTTGAAATACCAGTGAACTACTCCACCTGTAGTAAATAATCTCGATTATCACGACACAGATAATATGAACTGATAACTATAGCTGATCATCATCAGATACATCAGTAAACTTAAGTGGGCAGCGAGTCACAAGTGAAGGGCAAATTGTGAAGAAATGTCATACGTTACAACAATAACCGAAACTCCCGCTACCGTAAATGAACTGTAGCCGTTACCCCCAAATGGGGCTCGGGGACACATTTCCGAGTTCAGTTTTTGTGACCATATCAAAAATATTGTTTTTCTAGAAAACGAAGCGTTTGCACTAACAACTAAATAAGCCACGGAGGTTGTATTTTCAGAAAATATTAACAAATGAAAAGTTAAAGAGATGTAGAAAGATTTTAGCATATTAGTTTTTTCCATTATTACTATCTACACAGTAATTGTTTCGGCTTGATTGACACAGAAGGCAGATCGCTTACACGCGTCAAATTTTGCATAAAACAGACACAGAAATGTGCCCCATGCCCACGAGACTTCATTGTTTGATTGTTAATCTTTAGCACTTAAATCGCCGAAGCAATATTGATGAAGTTTACAAAAGAGCATCTGTTAGAGGCTTCTATAGAAGATAAGTATTCAACTAGAAATAATACAATAAATTAATTCAAAAATTACATTTTAATTATATATTTACAATTCCCCATTTACTAACTCGTTTTCTAAATAATAATAAACGTTATTTATTGCCCTGTCAACTTTTCATCTACTTAATTACTTAGGCTGTATTAATATAGGGAAAGCGGCAAAAAAATAGGTCATATATTGGCGAATAAGCGAGATGGAAAATAGTGCAACAAATTGTGGCATAACGCTATCCTGTTCTAGCGCCGGAAATCAATAATGGCATCTCGCCACGTGGAGCCAGGAGTAGAGCCTGTTCCATTTACATTGGCCGAGCAAAAGCAGACTAAGTTTGGTAGGACCTACGATAAAAAAACATTTCTACAAGAGTCCAATGTATGTATTTTATACGGGTTTCACTCCGGGTTGAGTGAAACTCTGCTATGAAATTAAGAAAATAAACAAATATTATTTGTTTCGCGCTATTGTAAGCATTTCCACAAACCCTTCTTCATAAGCAAGAAATATGTTATTAATCATTATTGTAACGTTACAAGTTTTACATAAAAGAATTTTTTTTATTGTGACAGAGGCGCCATCTGTTTTCATAGAAGTAACAATAAAGTTGCGATTAGCGAACTCTAGTTATCGTCTACAGAACTAAGTGGTTGTAGGAATGACAAACTTAGTTGCTATGCCATACAGTATACGATGGGAATGTTTCTATGAAACACAGAGGTCCCTGTATCTTGTCAAGTTTTATACAAGTGACGATAGAGGGCGCAGTAACCAAAATAAAATGTTAGTTTGATAAATTATATTATTATTAAGGTTAATTTACTCTTTAATAACACAAAAATTAAATGGGCTGTAATTGTTTGGTATTACGGACTTTAAAGAGAAATAATTTATGTGAGCGAAATCAGTTTTTTTTACAAATTTGTTATAACAATATACAGGAGAGACTGTGAAGTTCAGTTTTTTAGGAAAATGGTTAACGTTCTCTTGTTTTGAAGGATAATCACAGCATTATTCTAAATTCGATCTGAGTACAGCTATTTTTAATTGTAGGTACAGATAATTTATGTTATATAAAGCACATACGTATGTTGTATTTTATAGTGGAAGAATAAGTCTTGAAATTTACCATACCTTTTGTTTGAGGTGGTAAGTTTGACAAAGTTATATGTACTGTAACTATTGAAAGCGTTTGTCATGTTCAGCAATAATAATTATAACTTCTCAAAGGTCCTGCCAATTAATTCGACGTTGATGTCACAAAGTAGGTTAGGGAACCATTTGAGTATAAGCCAAATAAGCATATTCAACTCGTCTGACCATTGGAGCTAAGATTTCGTATATTTTATATTTTCGTAAAATATTGTAGAAACGTATTAAGAATAAAACTTTTATTTTGTGTAATAACCAAAAATTTCTCTCAATCGATGTTGTTGAAAAATTACCCCACCATACATTGTTATATGTCGTTAGCGAAAAGGTAAGAAAAACCTTTATAATTTCTTCACCATACTCATACCTAATTTCAACTCTATACCACTTTTTTTCAATGGAGGTACAAAAACATTTGCATCTTCAAATTAGCGTAGCTATTAAAAAATTGTATTATAAAATAATTCCAACAAATATGTACTAACATGATGTCGCCGAGTTTGAGGCGAGTGTGTATAAGCGCGCATGTTTTGTGATCGGAGACGGCGACAGCGCGTCGGCGACGCATGGGGCGCGGTGACACGGGCGGCGATATAATATCGCGACGCAAGTGAACGCCCGGCGAGCTGCCGCGCCTCCGCACGGACGCATGCCGCCCGCCCACGCCGCCCAGCATCCTGAAAAATTAGAAAACAATTATTTTTAAACCTTAAAGTTATTATAATCGATAGGCTTTAATCTATAATTACATTAATACATATTGTTATAAATACTTTTCACGTGTATTTTCGTATAAGTATTTAACACAGAATTGACAAGTTCGTAGATACTTATGTTAGTAGGTACACTATTCTTATCTATTTATTTCAAATGTGTTTGTGTGCATTATGTTACCTAGATATACTAAATAAATAACCCAGCGAAGCTTTTGTGCCTTATTGGTATGGACTTCAGATGGCATCTGTTTCTTTAGTTCATTCTCTTAGTAGGTCGTAGGTGATCAGCCTTCTGTGCCTAACACACGACACCGATTTGTGAGTTTAAGGGTTTTTTAAACCTAAGTACGAGAACGACTCCGTATGTGAAACGTTTGAAAGGGTGAAACATGCCGGTTTCGATACTTCCTTTGACCGAGCTTGATGCACGATTAAGAGTCCCACTTATACTTAGGCCAAAACTACTCTGAGTTTCCTATACAAGTCTACCTATATAAGTCCTTTATAAGAAAGACTTTACTTTTCTTAAATTACTCATGAGATAAGGACAACATCAAACCTACAAAACAAAGTTAAATTTTGATTTGTTTAAATATAAATAAACAATTTCTAGCATAATTATCTTAATGCAGTGGTGCAATGCTACAGATTACAGAACGAGACAGTAGAACGAGAGAGGGAGAGCTTTAGGATGAATCCTAGGTTTAGAATACGAGGAGTAAATAGGAGAAGATATGCCCATCTCCTACCCCCTATGTAGGTAGTGTGTACTGCACCGGAGGCTTTTGAACGTACCGCTACCGCTACCGGCTAGGCTAGGCTACCGGGACCTCAACGGCATGCCATAGATGGCATAGAACGCGAGAGCGATCCTGGATGTAACGCGGCTTTGTAGGAACTATTCGAGGTAGTTTTAGTGGGTATTGCTCACCCAGTCTCTGAATAGCAGAGATGCTGGTGTGGGTTGAGTCCCACATCCCCTGCAACTTTCGGGGCAGGGGATGCGCAAATGCATTTCCACCTCGGATATCAAAAAATATTTATCTTGAACTTAAATTAACTAAAATAATTAACACATTTCTAGTCATACCCTTCATTATCGGTTTTAAATTAAATTGATCCGGGAATGTTTAAAATGGCGCGGCGTTATCCTGTTATTATTCTGAGACCGATCGCTCCGATCGCATTAATTAAAACTCAATTCATTAGCAATGGACGCCGAGTTTTATTGACTTGAGATTCTTCGATATCCAATTGTTATTGCTGTTTATTTGTTGTTGAATCCTTAATGTATATTCTTATTATATTTCATCTCTGAAGGATTTATTTGTTTCAAACTTTCGATAAACGGACTAATTTGGTCATCTGAGTTCTTAATATTGTCCTCTATTTAATAATAATAATAAACCGTTATTCATGACAGAAATATGTTTGTGACAAGATCGATCTAACGCTAGTCCCTGCACTAGGGAGCCCTGTGTTGTGGGTAAATAGATTACAATCACGCTTCACGAAACTGACAGCCAACCGTAATATATAATAGAGAGGAACCAATAGAAGAAGAAAATTACAACTATATATTTTTCTTACGGCAGGTCCGATGAAAAGAAGTAAAAGCGTGGTACACTTACTTAGATCAATTAATTTTACAAAACAGTAAAAATTATGGTTTTGAATTAAACAAAACGATAAAAATTTAAGAATTAAACCAAATTACATTTTATATTCTTTTTACAACGAAATCTCGTTAAATATAACAAAGGTCTGTAAAACGTGACGACGAAACTTAATTAATTAAATTTAAGTTATACCAACTTGTTAAAATATCTCGAAAAGTTTCTTTAACTTACTTCAAACAACTTGAAATGTTTAAAATTTATTGCGCCTAACAAATCTATTATGCCACAACGTAATACTCTAGACATCTGTGTAAATTAAAAGTAGTTATATTATTCTAAAAAAATCATAAAAATGACAATTTGAATTTGAAACACTTTTAAATTGTTCATCGTCAATTGTTTATTACCACTGGCTCGGATGACTTCAAAAGTTAGTCTTTTAAAAGCCAAACATGCAAAAAGCAAATATAGTCGACAAGCTGCAATAACAATGAAATTGAAAAACAGTTGTTTAAAAAATTAAAATATTTATATTTTTTGGAGATAGTTATTAATATAGAGAGAGTCCCTTTATTATGCAGATTAAAAAAAAACTTAACAATGTAGTTTCAATATAGAAGAATATAAAAACTGTTACTTATTTGAATGAAGATAGATGGGATATCTGACATTTAAGGACTTAAGAATCAATAATAAATAGGTGAATTTCATCAAGAAACCATTTAAAAGGGCTTTATATTGAAAAAATATATTAAAATAACTTAAGCGTACTTACCAGTAATGCCGCAAGTGCATTAATAAATGGGATATTTTAATGCAGTGGTCAAAACTCTAATGAATATGACATGGTTACGATAAAACCATATAGGTATATATCATTTATGATTAAATAATTGTGTGGCCATTTTATTTTAAAAATTTATTTTATCCTATATCCACTGAAGTCCATCGTTATGATACTGAAAACTTAATCCAAAATGAATATAAAAGACCATAATCTTTGGTATTTTTAATTTAAACAATATATAATATTAAACCTTCCATTATTTATCTAAGTTGACCAAATCATTACACAAGTCAACAAAAAAAATATTTTTCTTTGAGTCTGTTTTTTTGTGAAATTTTCTTTTTTTTCCACCCCAAAAAAGGAGAAGCAACCCCTAATTTAAAAAATTTGCTTTTTTTTTTTCCCCCCTTCCCCAAACGAAATTTTGGTGTTTTGGCGTTTTTTTTTGGGTTTTGGGGGGGGGTTTGGGAGGGGGGGGTTTTGGGGGGGGGGGGGGGGGGGGGGGCCCCGCCCCCCCCCCCCCCCTTTTTTTTTTTGGGGGGGGGGCCCGCCCCCCCCCCCCCCCCCCCCCCCCCCCCCCCCCCCCCCGGCTTGCTTTCATTATAGTTAAGATAAAGAAGAAGACATAGAAAAGTAAAACTAGAATTCTGCTATGGCAAAAGTTTGCATTACTTACGAAAGCGCACGCCACGCGTTCGTTTTAGCGCACGTGATATTGCGTTTGGGTTTGGCGCCATTTTTTTTTTTCTTTTTAAACACTTGTGAAAGTTGGAACAAGCACTGATAGTAGGAGATGGGAAAATATATATAGCAAGTAATCAAATGTGTATAATTCATATTTTTATAATTATATTATATAATTACTTTATGACAGTTTTATTAATAATTATAACTAGATGTGCCATGCGGTTTCACCCACGTAAATTTAGTAGCACCACAATATTATATAACCTTCCTCAATAAATGTACTATACACTATTATGTCAATACTTTGAAGATCTCTCTCATTCACTTATTAATTTGAGAATTCAAAACGAACATTTTATTCGATTTCTGTTTTTAAATCTCATACAAACTTTGTCCAATAACAACCACAAAAATAATTATAACTTAGTGTAGTTGTTCGAAAATAAGCGCTTATACACAATTTATCATAGAATGAGCGCAAAAAAAAATTCTATAAAGTTATTCTTGTCTATGACATTGTTTAAACATTAATGTATTCTATTTTCAACGTTGTTTTTTTATATTTAATATTATATCGTAACAACAAATCCAACAAAATAAAAATCATCAAAATCGGTCCAGCTGTTCCTGATGAGTGTTATAAATTACTGAACTGACTTTGTTTATCTATTATATAGACCATTGAAACATTAATTTAGTTTATAGTATCATATAATAAACGGTTTTATTAATGATAGCACATTTTCCATAAAAATAAATTCCCACTAAAATAGCTTTCAGTGAAAGTGCCTTCCACAAATATAATCATAGAGAAACGCAAATGTAGAGGTATATCTTTAAATTATTAGGTTTTTATTTAAAGGCTTATAAGAGAGGAAATAATAAGGACCTCTTTTATAAATTAAAGGAAAACCTCTCCCACAGTTATTTAAATAAAAGAACAACAATAAGGAACATAAAATTAGCATTAATGATGAATGTTAGCACATTAGTAAAAAGCGTAAAAGCTTATATTTTATAATTATATAGGTAAATCTGATACAGAGTTCCAGTGATGTCCATATGAAGTGGCAATAATCCTTAAACAAAGTATTAGAAGTGGCAGAAAAGGCACGGAAAGGGCACGCGCGAACTTTGACAAGGGTCAAATGTTTATTTTGTGATTTAGATTCACGCCAACCACGTATGGCTCGTATCCTAATATAACTAGTCAATTTTGAATAGATAGCTTGACTTTTTACAATTTATTATTAATTATTACATTTTAAAGAGAATATATTCTCAATCGTATATACAATTTAAGTAACTTTTACTTTTAAGTGTTTTTATTTTAGATAGTTTAAATCGTAATTACATTGATTTCATATCGCACTCGTAACATTATAGATTTCAATATCACTCACTTATTGTACCACTTTAGAGATGCTATTACTCATAATATTTTGATTAAAGAACAGATAGAAGACAGGCAGAGACAGATAGAAAAAACTGGAAATAGTTCAAGTTTCTTAAACCTAAATCGGTCACGATACATTTTATATTATCACGCCACATGTCGCCATAATGAAAATGGCGACGTCGGATCAAATAATTCTAAATTAAAAATTAATCTTTTTATTTTTCCTGGAGACGTGACCCGAACTTGAACATAGCAGACGATCTTTATCTTACATATCTATACTTTAATATGTTATTTTAAATATAATTTTTGTCAATTGATCTATACGGTAGCATTCGTTAACAGCAATATCGTCGTTAATAAACGATGAAGTATGGCTAGCCGTCAAACTGTGGTTTACGGTAAACAAACACGGCCACTCAAATAAATATTGGTGAACCCAACCTCATACGAATTCAATTTACGGAA